ACTTTCATTGCTTTCATCATTTTTTGTCTGGAAGAATTTCTATTTATCAGGCCCCCCTTGGTTCCTTTGGAGGGGGTTTTAATTGTACAATTGGGAAAGTAGGTGGCAGAGATGAATGATTGGTTCTATGGTGACGCTTTGGAGGAACCAGTGAAATATGGGGAAATCTATGGCCTTCTGGGGTGTTCTAGAAAATATTTTAAAGTTAGGTTTCTTTGTTAAAATAAATGGGATTCTATGTCTCTCAGCAATAGCTAAGAAATCAGTTGCGACCTATACATTGAGAGGTGACCTATAAATTGTAGGTTGGGTTTGTTTTTTAGATTGATCATCATTGTTGTGTTACCTGAAGCTAATAATGATCCATAAATTGGGTTAAGAATGACATTACTTTTGTGCCCCTTGCTGATCGCTTGATATATATCCCATGTAGCCACATCTTTTTTCTAGTTGTGAACCATGAATTGTTCATGGTGGCAATGTTTATTTCAGGTATCGACCTTGTAATATCTAGCAAAATACCTTGGTTTCAAAAGGAGGTGATGTTGATGTGATGTAGTTAAGAGGGAAAAATAAAATAAAACAAACCAAAAAAATAAAAAGGTGAGAAGTTATATCCAGTCTCCCACTGTTTATTTCAGGTATCAACCTTGTAATACCTAGCGAAATACCTTGGTTTCTAAAGGAGGTGAGGGACAAATAAAATAAAACAAACCAAAAAAATAAAAAGGTTAGAAGTTATATCCCCTCTCTAGTCCACCCTAGAAATTGTTTTCACGAGACCAAAAATCGATTCTTCTTCTCTTGAAAAGAAGAGAAAAGGTAGGCAAATGACTAAGTACAATAAAAAACTTTAACCTCAAAGAAAAAGCAAACCCTAACTACATTTGTTGTCTGGGGTTTGGAGATGCTCATCCTTGAGCTTAATGAGTTTGAAAAAATTTTATCATTGATTTTTCCACTTCTTTGCAAATAGAAATATTCGCCCTTTCCCTTGTGAACAATCGATTGTTAAACTTAATCTGACCAAGTTGGGATACAACAATGAAGCAATGTAATCTTGGAACATCATCTTCTATTCCATAATCTCTTCCGCCTCCAAAACTTGTATTTCATACCTTATGACCAGTTAAACTTCCGAAGCTTGCTGTGGTGTTTGTTCTATGCTTGGATTGGAGGTTGAATCTCTCTTCTTCATATTCTTGTTCCATTTGTTGCATTAATATGCTGAGTAGCTGTACCATTTGTTGCATTAGATTTCTTCCACATCCTTTTGGACTCTCAAGTATTTGATCCATCTCTTGAAGAATGGAGCAATAGATTTTTTACGGTGTCATGTTGTACCATCTCAATCTCAAGGATTTGATACTGCTTGACTTTGGGAAGATGGAGAAAGAAAAAAGTAATGAAAAACATTAAAGTTTGAAAGAATATATATAGCCTCTTTGGATCTACAATGGAGTACACTCCAAAAAATCTTTTTAGAAAACCTAAAAATCAGTTGTTCTTCTCTCTCTCTCTCTCTTCTCTCTCTTTCTGCCGTTTTCGTTATGATACCTCATATATTTATAAACAAAAGATTAATTACCCTAAACCCTAAAATTATCTACAATAAAAAAGACACAATACCTAAATATCTAAAATTCTAAATGACCTAAATGCCCCTAAAATCTCTACAAAATTCAAAGATCTAAATAACCTTATTACCTACGTAATAAATCCAACCACTAAATGAAAAGGCTAATGCTAATTGCATCATGGTAGTTGGAGGGTACCTTTAGAGAATTGAGAAAATAAAATGTAATTTAGTAATTTTCCCATCATTAATTTTTTCTAGTTTTTCTTTTCTTTTGGGGTATTTTACTCTTTGTGGATACTAGTTCTTTTGATATGAAGGGTTACCTTTAATGCTTGTTTTTTTTTTTTTTTTGATTCATTGACATCTTTTATGTTGATCACTCATAATCATAATAGCTAAGATGGCTAGAATATTACGAGTCTATTATGATTATAGTTGTAGGAACTAGTGTTTTTTGATTTGCTTAACTTTGGTCGAAAATGTAGAAGCCTTTGGCTTTGGGCTCCATGCTAAACCCAAGTCATTTAAAAACCATAGAGCGATGTCTATCTTCTTCTTATTTTCTCCTGGGAATTTGAGCACTTCTTTTATTGTTTCATTTGTTAACGTCCATTTTCTTACCCTTCCATTACTGAGTTTTCTCCTCATAAGAAAATGCCTTCTAGTATCGAATTTCAAAAAGTTTCGGCTTCAATGAGTTAAGAGAGAAGCCTAGTTTATGGGGGTTCTATGTTAATCTTTCTCTCTCTCTGTCTCTCTTTCTTTTAAGTATATTAATTCATAGTTGTTGGGAATACCTGAGATTCTGAATTTATTAATCAAAACTGCAGAATCTTGGCTGGCCAAAAGATTATGTTGGCAGAATCAACATCTGTACAAGGGGAATTGTGGGAAACAAGATTCCTACTTTATAGGAATCGTAGTTCGACCCAAATGGAATTGAGATCCCTACATATATAGAATTGAGATCCTGTCCTCTTTAGAATTGAGTTTCTGTTTTATTTGGAACTACTCAAATGGAATCGAGATTTTGATATCTTTGGAATCAAGTTTCTGATTTGATGCTTCTCATAGGTTCTAAATCATTTATTTTATAGTTCATGATTCTAATTTCAAAGATAGTATCATTATACATGGAATTTAGATTCAACATATGTAGAATCGAGATTCAACAATTTCCATAACAAGAATCAATAAATATTAGAAACAATGTTTTATAAGTGTTGGAATCGAGATTCCTAAAATAAGGAATGGATATTTCTGACTCAACGGAAATGGATCCCATGAAGATTCCTTGTCAGAATCGCAAAATTGGGATTCCAATTTGGAATCGCGACCTTGGGTGAGGATTTTGGTAACTACGGATTTGTCTTTAAAAAATCAAGAAATATAGTTTATTTTTTGAAAATAAAATTTGTTGTTTGAGATTTTGTATAAATGTAATGCACACCCCGCACAATACAAAAGTGCAGTGGAAATGTAGGGATTTTCTATTAAATAGAAATAAATTTAATACACCAAACGTAATACAAAATTGCGGTGGAAATGTAGGGATTTTCTATTAAATAGAAAAAAAAAACCAGTTTTTTAGTTTCTTAACCTTTCTTTAAAATATTATATATTTTTTTGTTTTTTGAATATTTACTGAATATGTGTTGAGCTTTTAATTAGGGAAAAAAAGAAAAAGAAAAAAGAAAACGTTTAAGACTTCCCCTGAATTGGCTAAAGCGCTTAAATTTGCCAGCACATGAAGCGGAATCTGAAGTGAACTTAACATTAGCAGGAGCTTTGCGCTTAGGTGCTCTTACTGCTCCAGAAATTGATGCTGCCATTAGGCAATTCCTCATGGAAAATTTATTGCTTTTCCAACATGCTCCTAGATGCTTCTATCCAATATATGATCTCAAATCTGAAATTTACAAGCTGCATGTTGATTGAGCATGTATTTGTAAATTTCATGGCAAGGTTAAGAGAAGCATTTTACTGATTTTCCTTTTAATTAAAAGCTCTACATTAGTATTAAGATAATGTCATGCTTTTCCCCATTGCTGCTTATTTATTTATTTATTAATATAGAAACCTTCTTGCTGTTTGAATTCTCTTTCTTACGGGATTTTCCTCTTTATTTTGTTGCAATGAAGCTACTGCAAAGTACTTATGAAAACAATTGGTTCTCATAAGAACTAAGCATTTGGAGTGCAAAGTTGTGTGTCCTATGATGCAATGGTGATATCATTTGCTATCTATGCAAAGAAATCAAGTGGTTAGAAGCACTCTTTCAAAAAGAGGACCGCCTAGCGCCTGGGTGGTCGCTTAGGCCGATATCCTTGGGCGCCTGCCTGACCCGCCTAGGCGGCCGCCCAGGGTCTGCACCCCACCCAAGGGTGGAAATGCGGGGTATTTTTGAGTCATTTTTTTAATACTAAAGGGGCAGAACTGTGGGTTGTAGGTTCATTTGAAACCTAAAACCCATTAGAGGCTATTTTAGAGAGAAAAAACCCAAAAAAAAAAAATTCTACTAGGACGCTCAAAATGTCCGTCTAGGCACCCGCCTAGGCACTGGGCGGCCTGGACGCCCCGACCGCATAGGTGCCGCCTAGGGCTTTTAGAAACACTAGTTACAAGGTTATGCACTTGTTTAAAAAGATGCTTGCTTAACATGAAAGTACACATTGGAGTGGGTTCCTTCTGTTGTAAAGCAACCTCCCTACTTTTGGGGTTTTTGTTGTTTATTTGTACGAAGCTTTTCTTCTATTCTAAAATTCTAACTGTGCTTTGTTTTGTAAAAAGTATTATTTCTAACACTTTATTGTTCTTTGTTTGATGAATACTCATGGCTTCGTTATATTTTCACGCTATCTGAGGCTGTGAGATCATAGCTTGTCAAGTGTCTCTTCCAAATTTATGAATCCCGCAAGCTACGATATAACTTAATAACTTAGTATTCTGGACACTGCATTGCAGTTTCTCAAGGCTGTTTTAGTTATTCATGATTCTTTCTTCTATTCTATTTACTTTGCTGCACTGGCTGCTGGGATGCAATATTAATAACCTGTTCGTTCTGCAAAATTTTCCTGCTTTTTCATCATTCACATAACTATATACATTACCAGCCTTTCAAATGACTATTTATTGTTGTCTAGGCATGGAGTTTTTTCATTTCAATTATTATGTTTGGATCCAAATACTCCCACCTCCCAGAAAATAGGAATATGAGAAGGGAAAACAAATATGCCCGCTATTCTTCATTCTCAGTTCAGGCAATAAAATATATTAAATCTACTTCAGAGGGGATTTTTTTCCTTTTTTTTTTTTTTGAACTTGTTAAATTCAACTTATGTTACTTGCCGGAATTATCGCACTTCTCCTTCATGGTCTTGCTTATTGGCTTCTAATTCTTGATGCTGTGATTTACTTGTAGGGCTTTCCAAATATCCTCAGTCCTAATGCTCGGATATCATGCAAGATCTTGCGTTTGGGAGCAATGAACGCCGTACTTAGGCAAACCGCTTCTCTAGTTAGGGATATTGGATTTGTTCATGCTTTTGTTATGGAAACAGAACAACCTCTCTTGAATTGGGATTATATTTCTATTTCCGTTGCATCTGAATATATCAACGGGGCCACACTTTGTATTTTGAAATTTTCATTAGCCTGCTATGCCATTTGGAGGAGCTAGGTATGCATGGTACACTCTGTATAGACTTACACATGTACCACCTCTGTAAGGATAGGAGGTTAAAAATGTCGGGTTGCACAAAATTGGTTTATGAAATACCCAGATTACTTATTGGGTATTCACTATGTTGAAGTAAAGTTCGCCTAAATGAGCGATGTGATTGTTGGCACTTCGAATGGGGACTTTGGTTCCAATTTGTATTTTGTTTGTTTGAATGACTTTTTTCTTTTTTTGTAACTTATTTTTTGTGTTTCAATGGGTTTGATTGAATGATAGCTAATGGAATAGCGAAGGAGTTGCGGAATATGGCATAAAACAGACCATTGCCTCATTCTATTTTTATCCTTGGAGCAAATTTGAAAGTTTGCATTTTCGACAAAGGGCCTCTAGTTTTATTAGGCTATCAACCGTGTTGTCTATATGATAAAGAACAGTGCCACTGGGGAAAGCGTGCAGAGAATCCTGGACAGGGAAATGACTTCCAAGTTACATCACATGGATCCATCCTGCTGATAAGGTATTGCAAAAGATAAAACAATAATAGGTCGCTCATGTAATATAGAGCCCACTGCCTACCATTTGGGCCCTCTGCATGGCATTGGAAATACATCAGCTTGTTAAACTCAGGGGCTTAAAACACTGTGAAGGCTTAACCACATGTAGTCAATTTTAAGCAAGTGGTCTGCTGATGGTTTGAAGAACATCCTCCTCCTAACCAGAAAATGTAGAACCCATATCCTGTTCTCATCAGGTTGCTCGTTTGTTTCCTAGTCCAGTGCTGAAGTCTCTTTGCAGATAAACCATAGCTCTCTCCTCCTGTTGTATGCTCTGTAGACGAGGGTCCTAACAAAAATCGGAAACACCAGGGGATGAACAAAATGCAGCCACTCTACTCGGGAAAATATATAAGTAACATACAATGCTTTGGATAAGGGTGCTGTTAATTTGATTCCCCAAGTCATTGTGGTTGGGATTCAAGCATAATGTAGATTTATGGTTTAATTTGGGTTTGCATCAATGCTTCCAGGGGGTTCTTTTTTAACTAAAAAGAATGCATTCTCGTTGTTCTTGTTCTGTAGTTATTACCTAGCAGTGGCAAAAAATTGTAGTAATATGTTGTTTAAGCCGTCTAATCTTTGTCATAATTCTGTGTTTCTCCTGTAGAAAGGGTTTTCTTGGGGTATAAATCTAGTGATTCATGTTCTTCTTCATGCTAACAATGGCCTGGGTTTGAGGAAAATGTGAATTGAGGCTTAATGTGGATCTTTGTCAATTAAAACTTCTAATTGGTCTGAAATGAATTTAAAAAGATTTTTTATTCTTTCTAAAGTGATTGATAGTGCTTGAATGCGTACCCAGTAAAAGGTAGTTCTTGGAATGGTTGTGAAGGGGAACTGGGATGATTTTCGACAAGGTGCTGATTGGCGCGGATTGGTTTAATTAGAAGTATGGTGTGTTTTTGATTTGCCGTTGGCTGGGGTTGTTCAAAGCCGCCGCTTTAGAATTTTAGGCGGGTTATCCTTTCTCTCCAACGTGTGCTGGGCTGAAAAAACTGAAATGCTGCAATTGGGAATTCGGCATCTGGGTTGATGGAGGTCAAGGTGTTTACAATTTAGCATGAAACATTCGGGCCAGCCTGCTTAGACAAAGTTTTGGGCAGCGAGTGCTCATCTAATTTTGCAAAGGGGGTTATTGAGGTCCACATACCGAGCCTCAGGGTTTTTAAAAAGAGGATAAATACGCCAGAGTGAGAGCCTAAGGGTTTTTACAAAGAGAGTACATAGGCCAGTGTGAGAGGCATGCAGTAGGGTTTTCCACACGCAGCTGTGTGTGTCTATACTGCTACGGTTGTATAGTAATATAATGAAACTATATTCTTGTATATATTTGGGAATGATTCTGCTACAGTTGTATAGTAATATAATGAAACTATATTCTTTTTATTGAGTAAGCATGCTTTTTTCATTAAGATAATGAATCAATACAAGGAAAACACAAAAAGATAAGAACACGAAGAAAAGAAAAGCTGACGATCGAAGAAGAGAAGGAAGGAGGGACAGCTTGATACGGAGAAGTCGCAAGAGAGGCTAGACGATCAGCATCCGAATTGAAACCCGGTCGGACATGAGCAAATACTACATCCTAGGATGCCAGACCTAGAATGATTTTATCCATAATAACACTCGGTTCCACAGCATAGAATTAGACCTTAAACACCATTTCATGACATTCGATGAGTCACATTCAATAATAACTTTTAACATATGTTGGGGCTATACGTGCCACTCCCATCTTGAGCACCCAAAGTTCTGCCTCATTGACTTCGTAGAAATGTATCCTCCGGGAATAAAACCACAAAGTGGCACCAGTGTGGTGTCGAAGAAGACCCCTATAACCGCCCATACTGTGATGAACACTCCCATTGAAGTTGAGCCTTAGCCTGCCTTCAGGAGGCCTAACCTAGGAGCATGCGAGGCATGCATGCCTCTTTTTAAAAAACAACAGCTCTGGGAGAAGAGAAGAAGAGCTCCTTGGGGACGGAAAGGACAGGTAAGGACACAAAAGTCCACAATATGATGGTTCTATTGATAGCAATGGATAAAGTTGGGAAATCACGAACTCAGCCTTTAAAAGTTCTAAGATTCTCTCTTTCTACAAGTTCCAAAGAGACGCAGCTACAGCTAATCCTTCACAAGTTAATGCCCAAGGATGAAAAGGGAAGTACTAGAACTGTTGTAGCAGGTTAGAAGTCCCCTCCAGGCACGGGGTAATCTAGTTTGAGATCAAGCTTAGCCAATTCCACAGTGCCCGCAAAAGTAATCTAGTTTGAGTTCAAACTTAACCAATTCCACAGTGCCCGCAAAAGGGCAGTGGATGAACAAGTGGTCGATGTTTTCCTCAGTAGCCTTGAACATTAAACATACGCCGGGCAGGATCAGTCCCATATTGTGGAACCGGTCAACAGTGAGGAGGCATTCAAAGCCAAGCAGCCACAAAAAAGATTTTACCCTACTGGGTGCTTTATATCTCCACAGCTTCTTGGGCGAATCTCAATATAGCGATCCCTAAAGGGAACCTCATATAGAGAACGTATAGAGTGGATATACATCACGGAACATCAACTTAAGTGGATAATCTCCAAGCCATTTAGCATGTCCTAATTTAGTTAGTCTCCCATCGCCTATCGCCCAGTAGATAAATGCCAGAACCTGGTCAGTCTCCATTTCAAACTACATTCAGAAGCTATATTTGGGCCATTTATATGACTGGAATTTTTAAATATACAGTATTTTCATTTCAATTAATAATTAAAAAAAACAAAAATTTAAGAGAGCAACCTAAAAGGTATATTTTTAGCCCAATTAATATATGCCTTTCATATTATAAATATGCTTAGATCTAGGGCTTAGAAAGATTTTTTTTACTTTTCTAAATTTTTTAGATGCCTTAACCATCATCATATGCATAATGTTAGAAAAAGAAAAAATAATTTTGAGTTCGTAAAGGCTAGATTATGAAATTCATCGAATGGATGGTCATGATTCATTTTGGGAGGTGACTCATTTTGACCATCTTTAAAGTGCAAATTGATTTTTTTTTAAAGATTAATTATTGGGATAAAGAGAGGGTGTGTGCAATTTTTGGGGTCATACAAATGCCACTCACATGGTTTTATAGAATGGTGGTTCACTATATTAAAATGATAGTAGCATAAAATCACTATATATATATGTATATATATATCCGTGTGTGTGTCGGGAAAGGGGGGGGGGGGGGGGGGGGGCGAGGGAAGCTGAGGATAGTCCCCTTGTTAACTTTACAAACCCCGATGACTCAGATTGAATATGGGTCGATCCAATGGTCACGATTACATGTTGTATTTATATTTTAATTTTTTTCTACATATCCAAATCACTTAAAATTTTGAGAGTCTAATCTTTAAAAATCGGAGCATCAAATAAAAGTATATAATTTTTTTTGTAAACTAAATTGACCAAAATACCACTTAAAAGTTTAAGGGGTATTTTGATGAATTTATGTTTTGTGAATTATTTTATTAATACTTTTATTAGGTGTGTCTTGATGATAAGAATAGATACCTAAATTTTTATGTGATTTGGATTTGTAGAAAAAAATACTAAAATCATATTATGAAATAAGGTCGTGATCGTCTGATCGCTTCAGATTCATGTAGCTGTTAGATAGTGGAATAACCTTAGCTTTTTTCAATATATATATATATATATATATATATACTAT